AGACAGATAATGCCCCCATGGCCTCCATGCCAGCATTTACCCTAGGATCAGCATTTACCCTAGGACTGACACCTGGGTAGGCCACACCCAAGGGCACAGTAAGAGAAGGGGACACACACGAGGCACTTCCATGGAAGATTCTATCCTAAACAGGGGAAGGGGTTATATTACAAAGGAACAGGTGAGCATAGCTTCACCCATGGGGCTGTAGCAAGACACACCCATTTCTGTGACTGAGTGCCTCAGCACCCAGCTGGGGAGTGTAACTTAGTCACCTGCAAGGTTGGCCTCCCACACTTCTCCTCCTCCTCCTCCTCCTCCTCCTCCTCCTCCTCCTCCTCCTCCTCCAATAATGCTTTAACCTTTTCTTGGAGAAAAGAAAAAAAAAACTTTTATTGAATATTCTCTCAGATAATTATGATTGCTTTCAATTATCTTCTTGGAAATTTGTATTACAGGGACTTATGTGCTGGTAACATAAATGTCATGGTTTTGATAAGAAAAGTTAATTGTGAATCTTTAGACCTGAGGGTGGATTCTAAAAACAGTGAGAGAGCATTTTTATATGTACTACTGTTAAACAGGATAGGGTTCCAAGGAGCTAATTTGACTTATGAAGTTAGAGAAATCTGAAACCTGAGGTTTCTAAAAGCAAAATAAAACTATGAAGTTTGGAATCCGTAAATACTTGGCAGGCATACATTTGGTAGGAATTTTCATCACCTATATGAATAAACTTGAAATTAAATGCAAAAGGGAAAAAACAAAATTACTTTTTCATTAAAAAATTAAAAGAAATATAAAAATTTAAATCATTAATTGAACAACCAGGAATGCATGCTGTTTTTGAATAATTTAAAAAATGACTTTTATTTGCTCACAAGTGTTTTCACAACTTCTATCAAAAGATCTTTTTTTTTCTCACAAAGGCAAAAACAGATTAAAACTCATGGATTGTTTTGTTACCTAATTTTTTTACTATCAGGTTTTATTCTTTAATAATGTGCCTATATTTCCAAATTATAGAATATATTTTAATTAAATGTGATATCAATCAATAATAGAAGAGTCACTGATGGATTTATTTAAATCTTTATTTCTTAAGTTTAGTTCTAGCTGCTAAACTATGTAAGCCTTAACAATTTTTTTCTTAAATTAGCTCAAATTATGAATGAATTATTTTCAAAATGATCAGGTATTGATTTAGGTGTCGCAGGACCATTCTGTCCTGGTATTTTCTAGGCTGAGGCATAGGAGACAAAGATGACCTGAGTAAAAGGACAGTCACGGGCAGACATGTGTTCAGTGGTCATAATCCCTCCTCTGTATAGGTGGTAATTTCCACACCTTGGCCCAAGCAAATAGGTTAGTGGACATAACTTATTAAAACTGTGTTAATCATGTTTATACTTACTGCATAGGTACAGAAGCATCAAGTTTTTCTTTCTCTCTTCCTTCCGTTCTTCTTCTTCTTCTTCGTCTTCTTCTCCTTCTTCTTCTTCTTCCTCCTCCTCCTCCTCCTCCTCCTCCTCCTCCTCCTCTTCTTCTTCTTCTTCTTCTTCTTCCTGTGTGTGTGTGTGTGTGCGTGTGTTATTCCGTTTTCAATCACTTGGAAATCAAAAAAGAATAATGTTTTAACCTTTTCTTGGAGAAAAGAAAAAAAAAACTAGAGAAGATACACACTCATCACAGAGTGGGACATCACAGAGAAGATATACACTCATCACAGTGAGACAACTACAGAAGATACACACTCATCACAGAGTGGACAAGACAAAGAACTTGGCTGTAGTTCTGTTTGTACACATCCTGGGGATGTCTGTAGAACTGGACCAGGTCTCTGCAACATAAAACTATCTAATAAGAACATAGGGACCCTCTTCCAGGCTATACACATAATAAAGCCATCACCACACTTGTGTGCATCCTAGAGTTTGCATATATGTATATGTGGGCACACTTATAATGCATGCATCCAGCTGTGCCTCCCAACCTGGCCTTCATGCCCTCCCATGACCCCAGACAACCTAGACAAATCCTGCTACAAGGAGACCAAGAAACATACATTTAGGATACCTGGGTAATTTTCTCAGGTTGACAACAATGTTCTCAGTTGTTCTGGCAATAGAGTCTCCTTGGGCCTCAACTACATCCACTGTGAAATTGGAAGACTTGTATGGATTTTTAATTCTTCTTCAAATTAATTAATTCAATAACAGAAAGGGTCCATTAACTGAAAAGAGGCTCACAGCATGGTTCTCACTGAGTGAGAGAATTCTTGGAGTCCTGTCCATTTTCTGGAGAAATGTGGAAAATGGTATCAACCAACAGTTGTTTTTCTGTGTGATAGGAGAACACTTCCCCCAGAGAGAAGAAAGGGCACACTGAGAAGAGGGGAAAGTCCTCCACTATGCACTGCAAATGTGGGTGATGGAGTAAAATAGTTGCAGCAGAGGTGAAAATGAGGAGGAGAAAGAAGTTGGTGACAGTGATGGTGATATACCCATGGGTGGACTGCTGTGCCAGAGCAACAGCTGTTCTGATGACATTGGTACTACTGCTATTAGAGCAGAGAAAAGCATCAGTCTTGATTTCTATGTATAACATGAAGGCAGTAAATGGCCCCAAAATGTGTTACAAAATTTTCGAGAATGTGGACACTTTACAGAAGAGCTATAGTTTATTCTGTAAGCTCCATTTTTTCTATCAAAACACAAGGCTGAGAGATAGTTTTTCATACTAAGACTCAGTTATAGGAACTATACCAATGTCCCTCTGGACACAGGACAAATGCTGCCTCTCTGTGCTGTGCAGGACAGGGTGCAGCTGACACAGTGAGGCAGTATTCTTGTCCATATTATTGCAGATGACAGAGGCTTTTGATGTCACCTAAAGGGAACCACAAGTCTTAGTTTCCTCCACCAACAGATAGCAGCAGAGGTACTACTACCAAGTCAGAGGATAGAGCTGCCCAAGAGAGACAAATAGGGAGGCCAGTGTGGTTCTTTATCAAACAAAATGGCATGTATGAAATGTATGTATGCATGAAATGATATAGCAATAATTCTAATGATGTAGTGTCACATTCTAAAACTCAACAGGTGATCAAGGGTCAGGCATTGAACTGGAAGTCAGGAAAGTCGACCCTATGCCCTGGGTTACTGCAACCAGAGTCTGAGCGCAGACTCTCTTGTGTCTCTCCAGGACATTTAAAGAAGCCCAGAACATAGAAAAAGACTCACCTAAGAAAGGTGCCAGAGGAACCAGGCTCCAGGTATCAGACTAAGTAGATTTTGTCGGGCTGAAAATCACTCAAAAGACAAAGCTTTGGTCCAGGTACCTTAGAAGGGAGGTCAGTGTGAGAATGTAGGGCTCCTAGGACCTGGGTTCTTCCTCCACTATGACTGCATGGATTTCCTGTCTAATCCTAGGGCACCATTGATCATGATCTATAAGTTGTTCCAGATATTAACCCTCTATCTTAAGAACTTGCAGAGATGCCTTCCCACTCATCTCTGGCCTCTCCTCCCATGTCCAGTCACATCATCCCTTAAGGTTTATGTTTAATAACAGGTGGGTCCCTTCCCTGGATGTAGCATGCACAGCCTTCTTGAGGAAATTCTGCAGAGTGCTCTATAATCTTACTTGACTCAGGGACTCAGGTATGACCATGGGCCTGAACTTGCTTAAGTGAAAGGGTCCTCTTTGCTGGAAGGAGCCTTATCTACCTACCTTCCAGAGATCATCCATGTACAACTGTGAGGCCACAATCTTCAAAACGACCTTGAGAATTTTAGGTGTTTTTTTTTTTTCTCAAGCAGCTCTGGCTTCTAGAACTAATAACAAGATTATGTAAATTATTTTGCAAAAATAAAAAGTAAGAATACATTCTTTATGCCAGCTTATTGTGGAAAGGGACTGTCATAGAAGAGAGAGGATATCATGCTGAATGACACTGCAAGATATGAAAAGTCCACACATTCAGGTGGTTCTTTATCAAACAAATGCCATGTATGAAATGATTTAGCAACAATTCTAATGACATAGTGTCACATTCTAGTGAAATGACCAGGATGGGACCAAACTTCATCTGGAGTCTCAGAGAGGAGAATGAGGCAGAAGGCATGGATCAGTGGTCCACCTTCTGCTGTCATGTGTCCTGAATGATCTCAAAGGGATGGAGCTCAGCCCTTGGCTAGGATCCTGAAAGGTAGATAGTCCTGCTGAGCTAGACTCAGGATATGTCGTAGCCCAAAGGAAAAAGACAGATGGTCACAGGTCAAACTCTAAAAGGATATTGTTATGAGTGGCCTTGGGGTCCAAGGCTAAGTTCCTGCTGAGAGCAAATGGAAGAAGTTGTGGTTCTATCCCTCCTCTTTATTTTCATGCACTACTTCATTTCTGGTAGAATGTTAACCAATAACCCTCAGTGAGGAAAAAAATTTTAAGATAACAAAACACTTACTGACCAAAAGGACCTGAGAAAGACCTGGAGGAGAACAGCTGTGTTACAGATTTCAAAACACAGAGTTTGGGACATCAATATCATTGCCTGGACCCCTCTCCTGTTCACCTTCTCACTCTCTGTGTAAGTGATCTGCCTGTGTCCTAACCCTAGGTTCAGCCCTCAAAGTACCCTGACCTGGGTCTGATTCAAACACTACGCTCAACCTAGACACAGTATAATTGGGGCTACTCAGAATGGATCCTTCATCCTGAGGCCATCTCTTCTCTCCCCTCTTATAGAATCTTTGGCCTCCTAAAAGCTCACACGGATGTCCTCAGTTTTAGTGCCCCTGGAACTGACAGCCATACTCCCCGGCTTTGGTGATGCACTGCACAAAGAATATACCCATTGGAACCAGCATATGCTGTCAGATCCCTGCTCAAATGACATGCAAAGTGAGCAGCCCTCACAAATATCAGAGAGATATTTTGGCAGCAGCTAGAAGACCCTGTCTGTCAATAGTACATGCCAAGGATGACGCTGTTACTCTTAGTCATGGGACAGCAGTGGTACTCATCTCACACTGGCACACACAGATGGGAAATGAGACCCAAACTCCTTCCTATCAGCTGTCCCTTTATTCCAGCACCAGAAGGAAGGAGACAAATCCATGAGCAAGATGGGATCAGCTCACTCAGAGGAAAGACTGCCCTCTCCTCACAGCTCTCTAGCCAGGCTCTGCAGGAGTGGTGGGAATGGGGGAAGAATTTCTGACTGGCAGGACCAACTGACCTGCTGCTTTCCAGCCCAAAATTTTGAGGAGTGGGGTGATGGTCATAGTGGAAGTTCAATCAGAGGGATTCTTATGTGTTACAATCATGGTCCCTGGATTTCTGTAAGATATGACTGTCCATTCCTTGGTCCATTTCAGCAGGTGAAAGACATAAAAATTCTTAAAGCATTGCTGATCATGTTTCTAGTTCTTGTAGAGCTATGGACATCCTTCCAGCACCAGGTTCTCACAGACAGCATTGGCAAAGACAGAAAGCTAGAGAAGTGAGGACACTCATCACAGAGTGTGAACATCAGTTGGATTTAGTTCCTGTTGTTATTGAGGACCAGGGTCATGTATCTGCCACATAAAACCCACTAAGTAGAAGGGTGGAATGTTAGGATGTACCTTTCTTTGACTAGTGCACAGACTATGGCCATCCCTGCACCTGTGTACATCTGAGTTTGTGTGTATATATATATATATATATACACACACACACACCTACATAGATATAGATATAGATAGATAGATATAGATATAGATAGATAGAGATAGATGTGTGGCCTACAGATAGATAGATATATATTAGTTGTCAATGAACCTTTATGTTATGTTATTTACTTATATGCAGTGCTGAGAATCAAACCCAGGGCCTCACACATACTAGGCAAGTGCTCTACCACTCCAGCCCCTTAAGCAAGGTCTGAACTCTTAATTTCTGAATAATAATTCCTTCAGCAGAACCAATGGGGACATATTATGCCCAAGCATAAAGTTGGGTTATTGCAAATGTCTGCCTGAAGTGTCTTGTTTAAGATGCCTGTCAAAGAGGCTGCAATACAATAAGAGTTCAGAATTGGTAATTCTGCATAAACTAATGGTGCAATTTTAGTGTCATTTGTCTTGTGGGCAGCAATGGGCACTGTTAGGCTGGGAATGCCTAGAAATTCTCCAGTACAGAGGGCCTCATTTTATTCATTGATTTCCTCTGAGGCTACTGCTACCAGGTGAACTGCACTTTCCATCCCTGACATCGTTGTGTGCTTTCTATTTTTTTTGGGGGGGGGTACCAAAGTTTGAATCCAGGGGCATCAGCCTTTTTGATATTTTATTTAGAGACAGGATCTCACTGAGATACTTATGGCCTAAGTTACTGACACAGGATTTTAACTCACAATCCTCTGCCTCAGCCTCCAAAGCTGCTGGGATTACAAGCATGCATCATTGCAACTGGCCTCATGTGGCCCTTCTTCTAAAATTAGAACATTACCAGCACAAAGCCACCAGGATCAGAGCTTATTCAAGAGCATAGAAAAACAAGCTGCTGAAGAGAAGAACAAATTTGCATCCACTGCTCCTCCCTTCTCTAGCTGTAAGAACACAGGATGAAAAAGAGTATTGTCTAGTCCAGTCCCAGCTGGGCAACCTCAAGACATAGTGTTTGGAAACACCTCCCACCATGGACTGGCTTCACATTTACCTCTTGCTCCTTGTTTTCTCCATAGGCCAGAACTTCCTAAAGCAATATGGAGACCTTCTTGCTACTTCCCTCCAAACACAGATCCTAAGGTTAGGTCTTTCCCATTCTTTTGAACACTCAATGTCACTCACAAAATTGTATGTTCCCAGGTCTTTTTGCCCTGCTTGTGCTGATCCAGTCCTCATTTGCTTTTGCCTCACTGGGAGCCTCAGCCACAGTCACTTACATCCTGAGCAGTGAACACATCAACTACTTAATTTTGTGGTAAAGTAGAGGCCAGGAAAGAGGCCTCAGTAAGTAATGAAGGTGAACAGTGATGGCAACCAGAGCAAAGGGGATGGGATCTCTGAGCATGTCACAGGCTCCAACTCTGCGGCTAACAACTACTTAACCACTGCTAACACTCAGGCTGAGGATAAGGCCAAGTACTTTGGTGGAAAGAAACATACTATTGTTGGCCAGGGAGGGTAAACCACAGGGACACAGGCAAAGGAAAAGTGAAGTCAAAATCTCTATACTTCCCCTCTTCCTCTTCAGGGTCTTGGAGTTACAGCCTCACAACCCTCTCAAGAACCCACAATTTTTCTCCTTGCAAACTCCCTTATTCTACAACTCTGCTCCAAGAACATCACTAAGGAGAGGTAACTTGGGTCATTATTAGGGTCATTTTGACAAGATAATGTTGTGGTTCTTCAATATCAGCCAGTGGGGCCAAGACTGTGAGAGACGAGAGCAGCCCAGGGAAAAATTTGTTCTGGGGAAAATGGTTGGGCTGAGATGATCATATATCCCAGAGGCCTATTAAGCCTTGGGATCCATCTGGATTTCTGTCTGTTGAAGGGACGTTGATGGAGGTTTCCTTGGGTGAAAATGAAAGTTGGCTGCTGTGAGTATGGCAGTGCCTGGTAACGACTGAGTGCAGCAGGATCCTGTCAAAACCGAGGATTGCAAACCAAGAAAGGATAAATAAGCTTAAGCTCAAAGCAAACATAGATTCTATTCAGGTACAGAACAGATATTTGCATATTAGTAAATATAGTTTCAGGTAGAAACCAAGCAAGAATTTTGTCAAGGTAACAGGTGAAGGGACTTGTTTAAAAAAAAAACCTTTCACTGATCATTGCATTAACCAAGTTGTTTTGGAAGAATTTGGGTTGGTTATGAGGTCTGTCCATACATGTTGGATTGTTAGGGGATATCACAGGGGGGATTATAGCAAGCTGTAAAGCTTTTAAGAAAGCACATTGGCAGAAGTCTCAGCAACAGAATCTGCTACAGTTGGTGAGCACATTTTTTTCCAAAAAATATTTTTAAAGGTTTGTTTTATTTAACACATTTATTTTTATTTATTTATTTTTATGTGGTGCTGAGGATCTAATCCAGGGCTTCATGCATGCTAGGTGAGCTCTATATACTGCAGAGCCACAACTCCAGCCCCTCCAAAATATTTTATATCCAGACACTCAATCAAGGGTCTTTTGACTATAAAGAAGGGTTAGCCTGTCAAACTTTGACCTCTGAGACTTACACAGTCTTTTCTCTCTCTTGACCAGAGTGCAGTCATTTTAATTTTTTCAGGATCCATCAGGAAACAGTTGGCCCTCAAAAAAACAGGGCAGATGACTTGATCCCAGTGGTGAGTATAGAGCAATGTCCAGAAGAGTGTGCATGTCAGCAAGGTTGTGGGCAGGACCACAGGGAGCACAGTTTGGCCTCTCCTACTGTTATAGATTCTAGAATACTATTTCACCATATCGGGAACCATGTCCTAGTACATATAATTAGTCAACACACATTGTTTTCCACGTTTTTCCCCTAAAATTTTGTGTGTATGGATTTGTGTGTGAGTGTGTGAGCATACACACATCCTCATGTGTATGTGAGGAGTTACCAAAGAGGGGGACCTACACTCATGATGAGTGGGGATCTCAAAAAATATTGCTGAAATGAGTTGAAGAAAGCACCAGCTAAAGGTATAGAGAATGATTTAGAAAAGTGAAAAATAAACATTCAAGGGAGAGTAGGGGCCATCTGGAGAGTAATAAAAAACACTTTCGGAATTCTCAAACTCTTCTTTTAAAGGAAACTTAATGAGAGGTAGGCATGGGAAGGGATGTGGGGATGACATCAACCTGTTGATCACGAGACAATTTAATGGTGGTTGAGAAGTTCTTGGGATCATTAGGCTAATGTGGTATCTGAATAGTAGATACTATTGTAAAGTCCCACGTATTTGAGGTTCCTGGAAAAGTTCCTTCTATCTTAGAATTTGTATCTTCCTCCAGTGCAGCTACTCTAAAAATAGATGTATTTGGGGGTGTAAATAACAGTGCATGGAGCAATTTTTAAAAGTGGGTATATTTTCAGTAACTTTAAAATTGTGAGTAAAGATTTGTAGATTTACCAAAAATTTGAGAGTGGGAGCCCTGGGAGAACCATCTTGGTAAGTGGCAGGCCTAAGAGACAGAACTAGCTTGGGAGTGAAAGGATGAAGAGAAGCACAAGCCTTTCAATCAATAAATTGTATTTTCTTGCCTGTCCTTTGGTTTTCTTTCTACCTATCATTTATTTATTATTTATTCACACGTAAGTGTTTTTAATGACAATGACATTATTCTGATACCAAGACATACCGAACCGGCACAGTCTAACATCCCACTTATGCCAAATCTTTTTTTTTTTTTAGAGAGAGAGAGAATTTTTAATATTCATTTTTTAGTTTTCGGTGGACACAACATCTCTGTTTGTATGTGGTGCTGAGGATCGAACCCGGGCCGCATGCATGCCAGGCAAGCGCGCTACTGCTTGAGCCACATCCCCAGCTCTATGCCAAATCTTTGTCTTCCTCAGAAACATGGTTTCAGAAAGACCAGGGTTGGCATCTGGACAGCTATGACCCATTAATCCTTGACTTCACAAGAGGTTCTGCATTCCTCCAATGAGAAATATTAGACTTCCTTCCAGCACATGGCTTTCCACCTAGAAGTGAGAGCCCAACCCTTTCAAATGTCGTAAGGATTGTTCTGCATGGCCTACAAGGTGGCTAACTTTACATACAGCAGTATCCCTGAATGAGGTTTTATTAACAGGGTGATGATCAAGACAATGGGAACATTAATTCCCAGGTATATAGGGAAATCCAGAGATGTTGCAGAGGAAATACACTAGAGTCAAAGAGTGAATGAGAAAACATGAAGCACTTTCCAAAAAATGGGCATGCTATTCACATCAGGTGCTAGGATAGAGGGCATGGAGCATAAACCTCTTACTTGCCAGGTATTTCCCATCATAGAAACCAAGGGCCTTACACTCTAAAACCCTA